AGGGGGCGGGGAGAAAATATAAAGCACAAAGGTGACACCAATTTTAATTAATTAATCCATGCTGGGGAAACAAACTTGTACCTTGCCTAAAACCAGAGACTTTGGAAAATAATGCTTCATTTAGATGTGTGTGCATGTGCGTGCATGCGCATGTGGAAAGAGAGAGAGAGAGCCAAACGACAAAGCTTGCCTGAAACGGAATTCCTTGATGCATGTGAAGTAAAATAGATTGAAATATAGTGAGGAAAAGAGGGAGAGTTAACCCACCGAGTTCTTTTCTTATGACAGTGTTATTGTCATATAATTCACATATACAATTCAATGGTTTAATCATCTTCAAAAGAATTGTACAGTCAAAATCACAATCAATTTTAGAACATTTTCTCTTTTTTCATACTATTATTAGCTCCGCATTTCCCCCAACCTCCCTTGCAAAAACCCTAATAAATTACCTATAGATTGTTCTATCTTGAAGAATTTCAGATACAGAAAAACATTAAAAAACAATAATAAAAATAAGACTTAAATCTCAAATGAAAAGAAAGCAGAAAATATTAAAAACTAGAACAAAATAAAAGGCATCAAAGGGGAAAACAAATGATAACGTGTTAAATTTCAACCTAACTATAGTGACATTAATCCACTTTCTAATGGACTTAATATCCGGGCTAGTCACAATGGATCGACTGGTTTTGAAGGCCATAGAGAGGCGCGTTTTCCAGATGGACCTGAGATATAAAGACTGTTTCTATCTGAGACATGTAGGAATAGAAACTTAGAGAGAAAGCGCACCCCTTGAAAACTTGGATTTTAAGAGATCCCTGGCTCTGACAATTTGGGGTGTCTTTCTCTTCCAAGGACTCTCTCTTCTTTGGTCAGGGCTTATTAAAGTGCTCATGTTATAACACCCTGAACTGTCAAATTTTAGCCTAACTACATCTCTGGCCTATGGTCAGAGGGCATTGACTGGAGGCTTAATCCTAGTGGGGATGCTGCAAATGGATTTGGGGTTTTTATTGCCATCCATAGCTTTCAGCAAACTTGGTACTCAGAATTTAAATTCTAACACTGTTCTGTCCTCATATTTGGATTTTATTGTTTACCATCATCGAGTCATACAGGCTCGTGTGCTGCGTCTTCTCTGTGAACTTAGCTGATATCTCACATAGATGGCCACTTATTTGAAGATAAGCCTTTAAGACCCCAGATGTTATTCTTTCTGGTAGCCATGCACCATATTATTTCTTCACCACAGTTTGCTATATCACCCTTATTCTTTAATGATCTCTTCATGAGGGCAAGTATTGAATAGGGCCACATCATATTGTTCTTAGATTAGGGCTATGATTAAGGATGGCCTTAAAATCTATTCATATAGACATGATTTACATATGTCCCTAATTTACTTGAAAGACATCATTGTCATTTTATTGGGGAACATTATAAAATCGTCCCCATGGGCGTATGGTAGTTGTATTGAAGGTATCAATTAGCCAATGGAATAAAACTTCAAACACAAATGAGAAAAGGTTATACGTGTACAGTGTAGTTTTTTTAGACCAAAATACATGAATTGTTAACTTACATCAACTAAAAAGTTAAATGACTGGACATTATTTACACAAACAAGGAGGATTTGAGATAGGGCAAAACTAAAGATCTTTTAAAATTAGAAATATTTACATTCTGATATACTTTTTTAAATGCTTTCTCCTTTTAAATTAAAATATTTACTTCAGCTAGTTGACATTCCCATGATGACAAATGTATTGATGAACATTCCATGTAGAACAAGAAAAAATAAGGGATGGCTTCTCAATACATTTCAGCTTAAAACACAATATAAGTTTCTGGTTTGACCAAGATGGGAAAATACAATATAAGTTTATGAATTATGCTCTTCTATGAATTAGAGCAAAAATATGCACAAAGTACAAGCTACAACTACCTGAGCATCGTAGAAAGCATGCAGAAGTAGAGTGTGGAAAAAATAAAATAGTGAAGTGTCGACCCATATTGGGGTGTTTCTTTTTACTTCTTTACTATCTCTAGCTAAGAGCAGGCGACAGTTACTAGATAGTAGTGAGTGTTGAGTGAGTTTCAAAATCTCTGAGAACAGAAATCCCAGCTTTCTATGCAGAAGGACCAGACGTTGGGGTGCTGTAAACTCAATAGTGTGGGCAGCTTCCAGGATCACTAGTCAGCTGTACAGTCATGAGGTCACATTTTAAGATTAAGAGATTGAGTTAAAATGTAGTCAAGTCTTAGATAAATTTGTGAGTGGTACATGTGCAAAACAGTCCTATAGCAAAGGCTGTGAAATTATGATGACATTGGAACCACCACTCACAGAATACAAGAAAGAATTAGAAGTCTGAACATTTCTGGGTTGATTGCCTGATACAACACACAAACCAAAAACATTTCACATTTACATAATTATGTGAATGCAGAGTCTCACAATATAATAATGCAAAGACCTAGGAAAATATGATCTAAGGAAAGATAAATAGCAGGTATGATTCCTATGATGGGAACTTGATGGTGTAGTGAGTTACACACTCAACTGCTAACCACAGGTCAGCAGATCAAAAGCACCAGCCACTAGGCTGGAGAAAGATGATTTTATTCCATAAAGAGTTTTAACCTCTTAAGTCTTTAGAAACTCAAAAAGGGCAGTTTTGCTCTTCCCTATAAGGTTTCTATGAGTCATAACTGACTCATAGCAGTGAGTTTTGGCTCATTGCTATGATGACACAGATGTAAGATTGTCCTGCACAAACTTTGAAACAGCTACCGTCAGGACACTTCGTGCGGTAAAGGTAAGTATACATGAAATAACTGGAAAGGCAATACGATCTCAGGTAGGAAGTGAAAACTACTAACAAAAACTACTAATAGAAAATTTACAATTAAAAATACAATACTAAAAACAAATGTGTACTGAATCAGCTCAATAATGGAAGGACAATAACAGAAAACAGAATCAGTGAAATTGAAGATCAATCAATAGAAATCATCTAATCTGAACCATAGGGAGGAAATACCCTCAGAAACCTGTGGAACAATATCAAAAGGTCTAAACTATTGTCCTTACAGTCTCAGAAAGGGAGAAGACATCAATATAGGAAAATAATTTGAAGAAATTATCAGATTTGTTGACAAACATAAATTTATAGAGCAAATCCCCAAGAAGATAAACTCAAAGATAAATACATCTATATACATCATAGTTAAATTATTTAAATTAAAAATGAAGTTAAAAAAGCAGCTAGAAAAGAAAACAGAACTAAGATAGGAGAACAATAATCCAAATTATGACTGATTTTTATTAGAATCATTAAATAGCTTCTTATTAGAATGAACATTTTTAAAATACTGAAAGAAGAGAAATACCAGTGTACAATTCTGGAACCAACAAAAATATGTCACAAATAAAGATTAAATAAAGATATTTTAGATGGAGGAAAAGTAAGAATTCTTTGATAATAGAACAGCTAAAGGAAGCTTTTCCATACCAGCCTGTGTGATCCAAAAATGATGATAACAAAATCCAAATATGATGAAGGGAAAAAGATCAGAGCTTAAATGGTGACCATCCAATTTGCAGAAGGCTATGGAGGACAGTGGGGGCCCCAAATCCATCTTCAGAGTATCGCCTCAGATCAAGCCTCTGGCAGATCTCCTCTTGTCACAGGTGAGGGACGCGAACAGCTTAACTATCAGGCAGAGATTATTGTAAATTTGACTAAGGTGAATCGAATCATGGTACAATAGGATACTTGGTCAGTTAACCTCTTTCGACCCAACCTGAATTTGCTCTAGGCTCAAATATTTCTCCATTGATCCAAGAAAGACATTTCTCTGGCTTCTTAAATATTGTTTGTGAGTTTTTTAATTTCTCATTCTTTATTTTTATCTTTATATTATTATTGTTGTTTTCTTTTACTCTGGTTCATTTGTTTTTGCTTTTTATTGTTTCCGTATGTCTCCCAGTTTAGGAAGCACAGAGGAGTGGATGCATAGAGACAATAACTGATGGAATGGTTTATTGGGAAGAGGGGGAGGGAGAGGGAAAGGGAGGGGAACTTGGGAGCGACCAGTGGATACAGGAGGCAGGATGGAGCATTGGAATGGATTGAGATGATGTTTATACAACTCTTTTTAGAAGCAGTTTAATTCTGGAAGTGTATGATAGGTTAATATTCTATCAAGAAAACTACTGAAAAAAGCAAAAGAAACCAAGCTTTTTCATCTATGGTTACCGAGGGTGAAGAAGGAAGAGTTTTTGCCTAATGGAAAATGAGTTCATTTAATGGAGGTAACAATAATGGTTGTACAATGTGAAGAGTGTAATCAGTGGCATTGGATTATACATGTAGGAGTTGCTGAATTGGTGAATGTTTGTTGTGCATATTTTGCCAAAATTGAACAAAAAATTACATAACAATGAATACAGGGGAAAAGAAAATGTTCTAAAATTGATTGTGGTAATGATTGTACAGCTCTCAGAAACCCATTGGGGCAGTTCTATCCTACCCTATAGGGTCGCAATGAAGGTTTTTATGTGTGTTTTTTGGTCTAGAGCACATACTCAAAAAGAGAGTCAAAACCAATAGATTAAAATTAAAAGAAGAAAAAAAATCATGTTAAAGAATACAGGAAAAGGATAATAAGTAAAGAAATATGAAAATGACAAAGAGAAAATAGATAATAAAACGGTAGGCTTACATACAAATCAATTAATAATCATATTAGATATAAATGGCCTACACACACCAATTAAGAGATATTGTCAGATTCAACAAAAATGAAATATGTATTTTTAAGACACCCACTTGAATTTAACTTCATATTTGGACTAAAAATAAGATAATGAAATAAATGTACATGCAAACAATATTAATTTTGAAGTGAGGTAGCTATATGAACATCAGTAGACTTCAAGACATGAATATTATTGATCAGAGCTAAAGAGAAACATTACATAATTATAAGAGAGCAATTCATCAAGAAAACCTTATAATCCCAAATGTTATTGCATGTATAAAAGCTTCAAAATAGATGAGACAGACAAGCACTGGAAGAACAAAAAAGGAAAATATTCAAATCCACAATTTTAGTTTTAGAATTCACCACTCCTCTGGTATTAATAGAAAAAGAAGCAAGAAAAAAACTAGCCAGAATAGAGACAATTTAAGCAAAGCTGTCAAACCATTGTCAAAACCATGTAAATTGACATTTACAAAGCACCGCACCAAACATCAGAATACACCTTCTTTGCTAGGGCACCTAACAAAAATACAGAAATATAAGGTGATACAAATGGTTTGTGCTCTACTGACTGACTGACTGACTACTACTACTACTACAACTGATCAACTTCTGTGAGATTCGAATTATTAAAAACTTAGTGGTGAGCAGTTCTACTATGAAACAAGTGGAAGTCATTCATTGATGGCAATGGATTTGGTTTTGCTACATATGGAACAAGGTCTATCATTGCTGATGTCAGATTAAACATTAATATCACATGCAATTTTGCTTAAGATCATCCAACAATAATTGCAGTACATTGACAGGGAGCTGCCAGAGGTTTATACCCAAAGTAGACATGGAACAAGGGATATCATTGCTGATGTCACATGGCTTATGGCTCAAATCAGAAAAGAACAGAAAGGTGTTTACTTGTGTTTTATTGACTATGCAAAGGCATTCAACTATGTGGATCACAGCAAATGATGGATAACCTTGAGAAGAATGGAAATTCCAGAATACTTCATTTGGCTCATGCAGAACCCTACAAAGATCAAGAGGTGGTTGTGTGAACAGAACAAAGGGATGTTGCATGGTTTAAAATCAGAAAAGGTTTGGATTAGGGTTGTATCCTCTCATATTTTTTCAAACTGCATCCTGAACAAATCATCTGAGAAGCTGGATTATATGAAAAAGAATGTGGCATCAGGTTTCCTAACAACTTTCCAATGCAGATGACATAACTTTGCTTGCTGAACGTGAGGAGCACTTGAAGAAGATCAAGGATTTTAGCCTTCAGGATGGATTAACACTCAATGTAAAGAAAATTAAAATCCTCACAATTAGATCAGTAGGTAACATCATAATAAATGGGGGAAAAAAATGGAAGTTTTCAAGGATTCCGCTTGGATTCACAATCAATGCTCATGGAGACAGAAGTCAAGAGATTGAATGAAGCACTGCATTAGGAAATCTACACAAAACCTTTTTAAAGTGTTAAAAAGTAAGGATGTTAGTCTGAGCACTAAGGTATGCCTGACTCAAGCCATGGGATTTTCAACTGCCTCATATGCAAGTGAAAGTTAGACATTTACCATATATACTCAAGTATAAGCTGCCTGAATCTCACCTGAGGCACCAAATTTTACCACAAAAACAGCATTAAAAAATATGCAGATGCTCTACCGACGAGAGCAACGAATGTACAAGTGTGCTTTACACAACTGATGTATGTATGGATTGTGATAAGAGTTGTATGAGTCCCAATAAAATGATTGAAAAAACATGCTGTAAAACTTGGCTTATATGTGAGTATATACGGTAATGAAGAAGATTGAAGAATAATCAGTGCATTTGAATTATGGTGCTAGTGAAGAATATTAAATGTACTGGCTACCAAAGGAAAAACAAATCTGCTGTGAAAGAAGTACAGTGTCAGAGTAACCAGCCTCTGACAACATCAGAGTCGCAGGAGCAATTGTATGGTGACAATATATAAAGATCATAGTAAAGTCATGAGAATAGGGAAGATAGGAGAGAAGACAAAATAAAGGAGTCAGACACATCTTATGGTAGCATGCTCACCTTAGCCCCTCTTGGTGGTCCATGTGGAGATAAAAGACGAGAAGAGAGGAGGGTGAGATTTATTTCTAACCAAGGCTTCTATATACTTGGGTGCCCCCTGATTACAGGTAACGGCATACATCATAGGAAGGGCTAGTACCATAGGGAATACAGCAATGGAAGGGGGACGATCTAGGGGTGTACATGCAATAGGAAGAGGAGGGATTAGGGTTACACATGTGTCAAGATGGGCGGATCATATTCATGATGGAAGCCTAACCTCGATCATCCTTGAGCTGCTGGCTTGACTTATTCTTAGCTCTCCAGGGAAACAATCACTATCCTTATCAGTAGGGTGTGCGCCCCAATTACAGTGGACAAGACAGTAGTAGTCTGATGGCTCTGGATGGCTGATGCCTTCAGAGAGATTACTTCTAACCAGCTTGCTTCCAAGTGTGCTACAATTATTTACTATGTGTTGCAAGCAGTGTTCTAAGTCTGACATATATTGGGGGAGACAAGCTGGGGGAAAACCTTTTTATATACCACAAGGCAGAATGTTCCACAGAAGCATGGCGCAACTTCATCTCACTTACTTCAGACCCATTATCAGGAGAGGCTAGTTTATGGAAAAGAGCATCTATTTTTATAAAGTGAAAGGCACAAAAGAGGAGGACCCTCGAGAAATGAATTGACAGAGTGACAGCAATGATAGGCTTGAATGTACAGATGGTGGGGATCTGCAGAACTGGTCAGTTTTGTTTTGCTTTGTTGTATAGGCTCGCTATGAGTCGGAACTGACTCTAGGACACCTAACAACAACATATATATATCTGTAAGTAAATTGTTCCAGAATATTATTTTATTGTACTATTAGTTTCAGAAATTTTGTGTATTAAGAAAAGCAGACATTACTTCCTCAAGGTGCTGGAATTTCTGAGCTAATGAAAATTGAAAGGCATATTTTGCCTACAAATTTCTTAGAATGAATTTTACTTCATTTGTAATGTACTCAAAAATAGTTTTCCAAGAACTTTCTGGAAATTCAAACAATAGATTTTGAATTACATGCACACTTTTTGCTCTAAACGTTATGTTCTAATTTTAGGAGGCTCCATCATTGAGGAAGGGACTTCAGAAACTTATAAAAATGATAATGCAAAACTGTCCTGGCACGGAGTAGGGTTCTTAAATTATGAAATGCCTCCAGATACTATTCTTCAGGTAATAATTAAATTAAGAATAATCCATTTGAATTTTAGCCTTTTATTCATATTATTTATGATGAAATTATTGATACTTAAGATGGAGGGAATATAAAATTCTCCAAATTTATTTCAGAACCCGTAAAATTATCTTGTATTTTTGTAGTCATCAACATAAGAAGTTATCTACTCATAATCAACAAGAAACTAGATTACTTAATTTTCAAAGGCAACAGATAACCCCCATATTCTTATTCTTTAAATTGATTCTGTGGCTTCTTTTTTTCCACTGAAAACCCCAGTCATTTAACATTTAATGAGAATGAATGCCCTTTACACACCAATACTGTTGCTAAATGCTCATTAGATCAAAAACTGCTTAATAAGTCCAATTATAATGAAAAATTTCCAATTAAAATAGGCATCTAACTTCTCTAAAGTCAGTGGACTCTAAGAAATAGTAGCACAATTATGAACTGCAATGCCAAATCTGTGGTTAGTTGACATTTTAAATGCCTTCAGCAGTAAACCCCGGGACCTCATTCCACACTATAATCTATTTCTAGAAAATGTTAGACTTAAATTTTTAATTATTGTGGTAAAATATATACCGTTTCTCCGAAAGTAAGGCATCCCTCGAAAATAAGACCTACTTACAGTTTGCCTCTCGCTGAAATATAAGGCATCCCCCCGAAAATAAGACCTCCCCCAAAGTAAGGCGCCCCGAATCTACTGTAACTCTGGACTGTAGCTGCGGGCACTGCTGCGCAGCTCACTGTTGGCCACAGCACAGCCGGAGCAGGCAGGAAGTGCGAGATCTCTTTTAATAAAACAATAAATGTGTACCGTATTTCTACTTCATGGAAAAATAAGACATCCCCTGAAAAGAAGACCTAGCGCATCTTTGGGAGCAACAATTAATATAAGACACTGTCTTATTTGGGGGGAAACAGGGTATAATACAATACTTTTCCTCTCTCAGAATTTTAAATGTACAACATAACTACTTTCACAATATTGTAAAACAATCACCATCCATCTCAAAATTCTTTCACCACCTGAAAAAGAAAATGAATGCTCATTACTCATTCTTCTCACCACAGTCTCTGGTAACTACAGAAATACTTTTGTCTCTATATACATATATATTCTTGATACTTCATATAAATGACATAAAACTACATTTGTTCCCCTCATCTGACTTATTTCATCCAGCACAATGGCTCTCAAAAATAATCCATATGACAGCACATATTAAACATCAGTTTTTCCTCTGGCTGAAAAATATTCTTTCACAGGTACAGCAAGTATTGTCACGGAAAGACTTAACTGTCATTTTGCTGTTTGTTTTCCATGCATCTCATACTTTTTTGGGGGTACTTTATTTCTGCCCATTTAGTCTTTGTTTGTGTTTAATCTAATTGTTCATAGTGGACTATTTTAATGTCTTTCTATGTAAATTTTTAGGATATTTTTATTGTGGCTACTATGATGATCATTTAATATCCTAAATGTACAATAATGCTTGAATTGAGTCCAACTTATAACATTTAATACCACAAAAAAAATATGCCCTTGTACATATTGCCTTGTCCTCCTTTTTATGTTGCTGTTTTATGTTGCCAAAAGGTGCATCTTTACATATTGTGTGCCCAATAACATAGATTTATATTTTTCTGCACTAAGCCTTTTAATGAGAAAAATATTTCTTCAAATTATTTCTCCAAAAAGTGAATTATAAACCAAACATATATAAACCTGGTATCTATATTTGTCCATGAAATTATATTTACTGGAGATCTTTAGGCAGCTGGAGTCTTTCCTGCAGCTTCAAGTTACTAATGTCCTTTTATTTCAACCTGAAGGGTTCCTTTTAACATTTCTTGTAGGGCAGGACTTTCGATAATGAACTAACCCCCCTTATCTTGTTTATCTGGGTGTATCTTATTTTTGCCCTCATTTTTAAAGGATAGTTTTGCCAGATACAGAATTCTTGGTTTAAAGCATAAATTACCAAACCTAGTTGGTCTACCAAGCCCTTTTCAAGGAAAAAAAAATTAATTGTTCAGTGCCCCATTGACAATGAAAAACTTCTGTACTACAGGGTATATTCTGGGATAAAGTGTGGGTAGGTACCTGCTTCGACAGTCCCCCAGGATCATTTCAGCTGTCCCCACTTTGGGAAGCACTAGTTTATAGGGTTATTTGTTTTATTTCTTTTAGTGCTTTAAATATGTTATCCCAAGACGTCTGTCCTTCATGGGTTCTGAGGCTAATTCAAGATGCCTTATCTGTGATAATTTGGTCCTCTCTTGCTGCTGTCCAGATTCCCTCACTGTCTGTGGTGTTGGACAGTGTTTGTATAATATATCTTAGTGTGGCTCTCTTTGAATTGAGCCTACTTGGAATTTGAAAATCTTGAAAATGTTTTTCCATTTTTTACCACAATTTTGGAGGATTTTCAGATATTTCTTCAACTATTTTTCTACCTCTTTTTCCCTCCTGGGACTTCCATAATGCATATGTTGCAAGAGTTAATGGTAGTCTACAGGTCCCCTGGACTAAATTTTCTTTTGTTTTTATATTTATTATAATTTCAATTGTTCTGTGCTCAAGTTCTCTGCCTTTTTTTAAACAGTTTTATTGGCACCTCACATATGATACAATTCAATAATTCAATCATATCAAGAAGAGTTGAACATCATTACCTCAATCAATTTTAGAATATTTTATTTTTTCTTGTACCAAGTTCTCTTATTACTATTTCTTCTGCTCATACAAATCTGCTCTCAAGCATGTTGAAACGAATTTTTCATTTTTGGTTACAGCTTTAGATTTTTGGTTTTGTTTTGTTTCTTTTCTATAATATCCATGTCTTTATTGATAGTCTCATTTTGCTTTTAAGATTGTTTACCTAATATTCTTTAACTTTTTATTTGTGTTTCCCTTAACTCTGTGAGCTTATTTAAGACAGCTGTCTTAAATTTTGTATCTAGTTAGCCCAGTGCCTTTTTCAGTAATAACGCCCATTGCTTTATTTTGTCTCCTTCACCAGGCCATTCTTCTCTACAGCCTTGAGATTGTGTTGTTGTTGTTGTTTAAAGCCAGCACATCAGAGTACTATATGGTAGTTATTCTGGAAATAAAATTATTTCCCTGCCTTCAGGTCTTCTGGCTCCTATATCTCTTTCCTTCCCTTTTTAATTTTTATTGTTGAACACAATAATTAGCCAACTAGTGACTGTTTTTCCCCTTTTAAAAAGCTTTATATTTTCATTTTGATCAAAGTGTACAGACATTAGGTGTTTTACATTCACAATTTATAAAGATTTTGTTTCAATTTACCCATTATAATCTCCTCAGTGCACCATTGCTTATTCCCTTCCTTGCTGCGTTTCCTGTTTCCATTTCTCCTTCTTTGGATAAATACTGCCTTTTTCACCCTAAATGGTTGATTAACCTAACCAGGGGTGAGTTCAGTTCAACACCTGCAGGGATACTGAGGAGCATAGTCCTGGGGGGTATCATTATACAACAAATAAACCTGGTCTTTTAGGAGTTTGAGTTTTGTTCCACATTTTCTCCCACTCGGCCCAGGGCCTTCTAATGTGAAGCATTTCGGAGCACCAGCTAGTTATTTCTACTAACTGCTTTTGCTGACTGAATTACTTGATATATCTAATCACTTGTATTCAGCTATTGTAGGTCAGAAACTTGCTTGAATCACAGAAGTTATAAAGATACAGAAAGAAAACAAAGGGGGAAAAGTGTAAAACATGAGAAATAAAGGAAAACAAGCAAAACCCTAGTCAAAAGCCATAGGAAACAAGCAAACAAAACCCAAACACCCATTGGGTTTTTTGAAAATTGGCTCTGTGCTACAAAATTCTGTCCACAATGTATAGCATATGAAATTATAGTATAAGTATACTTATGCACAGAGATAAATCTGAATGGGAAGACTCAGATTTTCTTAAGTCCTTTTTATCCAAGTAGCACCTTGCCCAGGGTGTGTTTATGGCTTTCCCTAGGGTGCCATGATATTTCTAAATGGTCTACTGTCCCAAAGAACTTTTCTTTGTACTGCTTCCCCTTGCCCTAAGTGTTCTGATGTTCGCTTCAGTTGCCCACTTGAGCCCCAATCTCTTTGCTTACCCACCACCACCCCCTTCCACTCTTTCTCCCAATATGGACTAAACCGAGATGCACACTTTGCTTCATTCAGTCTTTACAAAGCTGTTAAACTGTTTCAAACAAATAGTGCAGTTGTCAGCTATTGCTTCAAAGCAGATTCAGACCAGAACAAGCCAGGAGTATGGTTCACTATCAAGTGTCAGCATTTTCCTACTGATAAGTTGATGTTGCCGATTTGTGATTCAGCATTTACTCGGTTGCTGAATGGTTCTGACTGCTCACTGAACACCATTCTTCACCACCAGCCGCAGCACCACCACCATCATGATGATATGATATCATCATATCATCACCATTACCGTGCTCATCACTACCACGATGGACACTGGTGCCATGAACACTACTACAGTTGCTACTATTGGATTCCATCATCACCATCATTTCACTCATCATTACTGCTTTCACCACCACCAACATCAGTAATACTATCACATCCTCCATTACCTTCACGATGATAACTGTTATCATTATCACTACCACGGCCACTATCTCTCCCACCACCATCACCATTACCACTGTCACCACCATCATCCTGACACCTGCTGCTACTCTAGCATGTGACTAGTTAGAGCAATTAAAGAAAACATACTCATTAAAAAGTGCTTTAACTGACGGAAGGAGGAAAAACAGAAGGTTCTTTCAGTAAGCCTAAGAGTTTCATGAATATTTTCTTGCTTGGTATGTATACTCCACAGTGTCTTCACTGTCAGACCAGCATTAAATAATTATTTAGTGACAAACATTTCAGGAGTGGATTGTCAGAATGAAATAAGAGGTTAACTTTGAGTTTTCTTTCCAGCCAGATGTCCATCCTGGTAAGTGCTGGGCCTTTCCAGGCTCTCGGGGCCACACCCTCGTCAAGCTCGCCAGGAGGATTGTCCCAACTGCTGTGACGGTGGAGCACATCTCACTCAGGGTTTCTCCGTCGGGAAACATCTCCAGTGCACCCAAGGAATTTTCTATTTATGTGAGATGCTCTCTCAATCTGCTATAAAGAATCAATTACACTAGAAGTTGATTGGCTAGGAATTAGGAGCTGGGTTATCAACCACATAGATGAATTTTCATATCATTGTGAGAAAGTCAATTTCTTAGACCTCCATTTTCTCATTTTCAAAGTGAGATAGTTGGTCTTCCATTGAATCACTGTTTATTATGATACTTGGTCAGTTGACCTCCCTCTTGATCCAACCGGAATTTACTCTAAGCTCACATATTTATTGCTAGCTCCACAACAGAATTTCTTCTCTGGCTTTTTAAGTATTATTGGTGGTTTTTTTCTCTATATATGTATACTTCTTTCTCTTCCATATTTTTTAACGGTACTGTTAGGTTTCCCAATTTATGAAGCACAAAAGGAGTAGATACAAAGAGACAATAACTGATGCAATAGTCTACTGAGGACAGAGGGTGGGAAGTTAAGGGAAATTGGGGAGCAAACAATGAATGTGGGAAGGGTGGGGAGCACTAGAACTTATTGTGATAATGTATAGATAACGTTTTCAAAGTGACTTAAATATGGAATTATATGATATGTGGATATTAGATCAAGAAAACTACTAAAAAATAAAAGAAACCGAAGTTGACCAATGGTTACCCAATGGGTGAAAGATAAAGAATTTTTGCTTTGGTTAGGGAGCACTGAGTCTACGCTGATGGTGGTGGAATAATTTGGAAAAAGGTATCATTAATGGTTGCACAACAGGAAGAGTATAATTATTGGCACTGAATTACACATGTAGAATGTGTTGATTAGGAGATTGTTTTTTGTGTATATTTTGGCCACAATGAAAAAATAATAATGACACTAATTTAAACACCACATCAAAATTATATAAACAAACAATAAAAAAATAAAATAGTTTGACACTGAAGTCCATTCCCAATGTTTAATCTACACACACATTCTCTTACAACAATTTTAGCTGTTTATTTTGGATACTTGACTATATTTGCTATTAGTGCTTTTCTTGATTTTTCGGTTTTGATTATTATCTACTATTATCTATCTAATTCTTCTATGGAAAATGAAGTACTTCTGGGAATCTTGAGTCGTAATTTAGCATTTACTTGTTTGTGTCACTCAAGCACCCTTCAATCGCCAGTAATATACTTTCAAAATATTTCACATATATGGGAAAATATAATATGTGGTCCTTTGCAACTGATTTTTTAAACTTAACATAATGTTTTCAAGGTTTATTCATGTTGAAGTATACTTTGATATTTCATTGCTGAATAATATTCTATGGTATGCACAAATGCATTCATTTTAACTTGTTCCAGGGGTTGGGATGCCCATCACTCTGTTCCATGCTCTGGCTCCTGGTTTTGCTGCTGCTCCTTTGATAGTGTAGCTGTCGTCTGGATCCAGGAGGGTTCACTGTGCAGGAATCTTAGGTCCAAAGGATGCACTCCACTTCTGGCTCCTGCTAATAAGGAGCCTTCCTGCTTCCCAGAGGGCTCATTTTATATAAAGCAGGATAGCACTCCACGGTAACCTGTTCACAATGACTCACAGGTGAATCCTCTCAGTATCTCCCCCCATCTTCTTCTTAAGACTCATGCAGGGAAAGGTCATTCAGTGGGAGTTAGAGATTTTGACTAGAAGATCCACATTAAATTATAATCCACTGCCTCTGCATTGCAATTTTGTCCCTGTAGGGTTTTACCTAAATGCCTTCCCCTACCCCATTTGCGTGTTTTTTGGTGTGTTTTTGTTCCCCTTAAGGAGGAATTGTTATTATACATAATTGATCAATACATCTTGTGTATAATCAAAATACCTAAAAACTCCCTGGTTTTTGAGCTGAAAAATAAAGGGCATTACTCCCTTTTGATGCCAACCACCACTATCAGATATAAGTATTTCTGAAAATTCTGAGGTTCAGGTATATACACCAAACCAGAAAAACCAAGCAAGTTTCTATCTAATCAATCTCAATTCCAATTCACGGCAACCACATGTGTGAGAATAAAATTGTGCTCCATAGAATGATCAAAGACCGAGCTTTTCAGAAAAAAGATCACCAGGCCTTTCTCCCAAGTTACCTCAAGATGCCTTGAACTTCCTACCTTTCAGTTAGTAGCTAATCTAGTGAACTGCTCTGCTGATGTGCACACATTTGATCATCATTTAGAGGAAACGGGTGAAAACATCAGGCCGAAATCCTTTCCTAATAAACACTGTTTCCTCATTTATGTTTATATAAGAATGTATAAAGCAAAGGGGATATAAATAAAATTAGCATTCCTTTCTTAACAGGCTACAGAAACTACATGTGACTTGAATTTTGCATATAATTATGGATGTATTATTTAATGACAGCATATTTAATTTAAAAATTAAGCTATATTATAAATAGTACCATTTTCATTATAAAACAAACGAATGGATTTTTATTTTTCTCTTACATTAATTGTTGGTACCTAACAATACACTGAATGAATTCTGGTAGCATAGTGAGCTATGCATTGGATTGCTACCCACAGAGCTGGTGGTTCAGATGCACCAGCTGCTCTGGGTAGAAAGATGAAATGTTCTGTTTTGTAAAGATTTGCAGCCTCGGAAACACACAGGGGCGGTTCCACCCTGCCCCTATGTTACTGACTATGAGTCTGAACCGGTTCAGGGTCACTGAGTTTTGAGTGAATGATAAATTAATTAGTTTCACAAAATAAAATAATTCCTACTAGCATATTCTTCCCTCCAAAATCTTCAATTTTAAAAGGTGGATAAGAAGATTATAAAGCACAAGATTATAAAGCACAAAGGAAATTGCATATAAACATTACTATTTTTGTTCTGAAATACAACTCTTTTTTTTCTGCCAGTCAACAATTTCATGAGGGAGTAAGTTATTTGTGTGGTAAAGATCCCTCAACTGATGTTTTGAGAATGATGATGGCAACAAATGTACAAATGTGCTTGACACAATGGATGTATGTAGGAATTGTGATGAGTTGTACGAGCCCCAAATAAAATGATTAAATTAAAAAAAAGAAAACCAAAAAAAGTGTCAAAATGTGACCTTAAATAATTAAAAAAAAAATCTGTCAATTGGATTAAATGTGTCTCATTTTGGAGACCATTAGATCAATATGTGAGTCATTATTTTATTTTCTGTTCACCTGGAAATATGCCCTAATGCAAATATAGTTATTAGTCTAGAGTTAATGATGAGAATTGCCTTACCTTTCTGTGTCAGCCCTGTGATCAATCTGTGATCATTCCTGATAACGCAAAGATGTCTGGTAAATTGCTATTACTTCAATGGACAACATGTCACTCATCTACTCATGATAACCTCCATACTTATTGCTTTCTTTATAGGGCATCTCAAAAGAATGTAATGGAGAAGAAATTTTCCTAGGCCAGTTTATATATAACAAAAAAGAAACCACTGTGCAAACCTTTGAGCTCCAGGTAATGAGGGTGTGGTGGGAAAGACAAGAATGGGCTCCATCAGTTGGAGGGAAGGATATGTTGAGGTTGCTTGGTGGAAAGTGATGTGTGAAAATAATTATGACCAAAGTTTGGGTTAATAAGAATTGCTTGGTGTTAACAAACCTAGGGACAAGGGAATAACAAGTGATCCAAATTGGTGGTGAGGTGGGTGTGGGGGGCCTGGTAGGGCATGATCAAGGGGAATGTAACAAAGAGGAAGTGCTGAAACCCTGATGGGGACTGAGCATGATAGTAGGACAGGAGGAAAATCAAGGGAAATAGAGGGAAGAGTTCAGAGGCAAAGGGCATTTATAGAGGTCTAGATAAAGACATGCACGTATGCAAATATATTTATATGAGGATGGGGAAATAGATCTATGTGCCTATATTTATAG